ATATCTGTGCAGATTCACAGTTACCTATTTTATTCAATGGGTTATAATCTGTTACTAAGTTTGATGTTGAAATCATCCCAGAGGTAGATATTGGGAGTCCACTTAAACTGGATTGTGTTTCTGTGCGTGTATTGTTTTTATAAAAACATGTTTCTAACATTCTTGGGGCAATTTCTTTTTCTCTAGCATAAGCTACTTCAGGGCTCATTTGTACTTTCCTTGCCCTAGACTTGGGATCAACCATTTCTTCAAGAAGTCCTGACTCCTTTTAGTGGAGAATAGTATTTAGGAGCCAAAATTTGTGCATTAGATGTACGCATTGCTATTGGGGTATGGCTGCTCCCAGGTCCTTGCTGGGTACAGAGCTAGGAAATATGTGTTTGTGTGTGCACTTATATCTGTACTTATTTCTATGTCTATCTATACATATTGCAAAGTAATGATATCACGCGGAACCTCCAATTCTACAGGGTTCATTCTGGTATTCTCCTTTTCTTTATTTGTAAATTCCTTCTCAGTCGGTGGGAAACTTAATTATCTTTAATATATTTATTTATTTTATCAATTCCCCCGTATGTAACATTCTTCCCTCCCCATTACCTCCTAACCCATGTATATGACTTTTTTACTCTAATTTGGTTCTGATAGCTCCTTCAAGACCAACCCCCATCCCACCAAGCTGGCATCTCCCTCATCCAGATCAAACCCTGAAACTACATTTGCTGTCTGGACCCAATGGCAATACTCTCTCTCACTTGTGTAGTCTCTGACACCCACACTAGGCTGTTTCTCCTACTATACCCCATTCAGGTTTTGATACCTCTCTCTGGGCTACTGTTCCCCAACATCCTCTCTCTTCAGCATGGACACCCACCTTGCTCTATCCCACCTACTGATATTAGAAGTGAAGGAAAAGGGAAGGTTTCACACATGAATTTAAAATAGAATTAATTCACTTAATTTATGATACAACTCATTCCCAAATTGTAGTAATAGTCAGGTGGAATATTCATTTTGCTCTATGCCTGTATCTCAGCATGTGACAATCCATCTTAGAGAAAAAGGAGAAGTGAAATTAAGAATGCCCAAGTCAGAGGTCTACAGGCTTGAACAAAACTCCTGTAGTCTGACGGCTAAAACAAAACTCACAATTTATTAAAATCCTGCAAGGTATTCCCAAGAGGTTGTTGTGTTCTATAATGTCTGGTAGGCCACCAAAACTTTCATAATAAAGGGTCAATGATGAAATGAAGTTAACTGAAATTTTGTTAAAAGCTAGTAAAAGTTATAAATAGAAACTAAAATTCCTAACATTTACAACAGTCACACAAAATAACTTAGATCACTATAGACAAACTATTACTTACTTTATCTACACAATCATCAAAAAACGCCAGGCTTGCATCTTTATCACTGACAAAAGAACATTCCTCAATGAAGCGAATAAACATTTGTGTTTTGGTCATCATATTATAGAATTTTTGATGTGATCGGTCCCGGCTTCTTAAGAAAGCTGTTCAACATAAATTTCCAGTGTCAGAATATATAATATCATTTATAGATTCATAGAATTTTCAAGCTAAAAGGAATTTGATCAACCATGTCATCTACACCCCACCGTTTTGCCAAAAATGAAACTAAGACCCTGAAAGAGGAAGCGACCTGACAGAGATAGCAACAGGAAAGAAACTTGAATCCAGACATTTCAAAACCAGAATTGTCTCTGTGTCCCCTCACTACTTTGAAGATTGCACATAAACTAGAAAATGTGAAAGCATTTTAAAATTGCTACTTTTCCCTCTTTATGTGTTGCATGCTACGTGAACGTGGCTCATGCTCTCTTTCCACATACATATGTGGCTTTTTCAAAGCAGCAGTTATACCCCTCCTGAGTTCACACTCACTATACTCAGTTACATAACACTTGGGTTTCTTTTGGGCTCATGAACTCAAATTCTTTCCAGTCTCAGGAAAAGTTTTGCATAAACTGTTCTCTCTGCCTAAAACACTCTTCCACTTTCTCTCTGCCTGGCTAATCTCTACTTCTCCTTTTGATGATGGCCCAGATGTGAATTCCTCACAAGAGCCCTCTGTGATCTAAAGTTGTGAACTCAAGTGTTCATTCATATTTTCAAATTGTTTATCTTCTTGACTATAAGCTCCATGGGAAAATGATTATGTTCTCGTTCTTTCTTTTTTTGTGTGACCATGTACCTTTTGTATACCACTATACACCCAATGCCTATCATTTGGAGACACTCAATATATGTTTATTAAATGAATTTCTCTCTCTTTTTATCTTCATCCAAGGACATTTTTCCATTGCTTTTAGAGAGAGGGGGAGCGCGGGAGAAACACATCGATATGAGAGAAACATCGACTGGCTGCCTCCTGTACACACCCTGATCAGGAATTGAGTATGCCACCTAGGTATGTGCCCTGACCAGGAACTGAACCCGTAATTTTTGGTTATAGGACAACACTCCAAGCAACTGAGCCACACTGGCCAGGGTATGAATTTCTCTTTTAAATGTTAAATACTACAAAAGAAAGTAAATACATATTATGACACAAAATGCATTCCAGGGCTCCCCAACATTTTTTACTTCATGGCATAGAGAGAAAATAGTACTTGTAGAGAATACTGAAGTAAAACAAATGAGGCTGCTCAAGCCTGGAGGTGATCATTCTGGGCTACTTGGCATGCCAATAATGTCTGGCTGCCCCAAAAGCTAAAAGCGTCAATGTCAACACACCTGTGACACAAGTGCAACAGTACGTGTTTAGAAATCTCTGTACTTTTCAAAGAGTTCCTTATGCATATGTTGCCAATGGGATTACATTGAATGTGCCTGAGAAATAACTAGTCCTATGGAAATGGATTACTTACAGAGTTATTATTAACAAAATAGGTATATAAAGAGGTCTGTCCAGAAAAAAGTCCAGCCATTGTTAATATAACAAGAATGTTATATTAACAAGAATATAACAAGAATATAACATATAATGTGCGACATTAATGTAACCTGGGAGCCAAGGAGAGTGGACTGGAATGCCCATGCGTGAACAATGACGACTTTGCTGTACTAGTCAGTGGGGGCAGTAGATGCCACTGAGTGACCATGTGTACTGTGTGGCTGCTGCATTCAAAATGACTGAGTGAGTAGAGCAATGAATCTGCATCAAATTTTGTGTTAAACTTGAGCATTGCTCTGTGGAAACTATTCGGGTGATTCAGAAGGCCGCAGCTATGGGCAACTGTAATTAGTTTCATTAAAAAAACTCGCCCGCTCATGCACCATGTCCGTGCAGAGTTTTCTGGCAAAACTTCAAATCACCCAGGTGACTCAGTCTCCCTACAGCCCAGATTTGGGACCCTGTGACTGACTTCTGGCTTATCCCAGAACTAAAGTCACCTTTAAAAGGGAAGAGATTTCAGACCAGTGATGAGATTCAGGAAAATATGATGGGGCAGATGATGGTGACTGGGAGAACTGTGTGAGGTCCCAAGGTGCCTACTTTGAAGGGGACTGAAGTGTCATTGTCCTGTGTACAATGTTTCTTGTATCTTGTAACTTCTTCAATAAATGTCTCTATTTTTCATAGTACATGGCTAGATACTTTCTGGATGGACCTTGTACATTTTTGATAAATATGAGCTATTAACCCAGAAAGCAATGAAATCATTGGTTAAACTCAATAATATGACTTAATAAACTCAATAATATGTAAAACTATGCATTCACTCACCTTGTAGGGCAAAAAGAGAGCTTGCGTCTGTGGCTGTCTCAGATGGGGCTCCTGTTATTGGCCTTAAGTATGACCTATACCCTTTTAAAATAGAAGCCATGAAATACAAAAACGCCTCTTGGATTTCCAAATCTATCATGTGCAACCTCTTTCCAGAATTAAAATCATAGTCATTCATTGATAAGTCCATTAGTCCATCATCTCTTGGTCTCTGCTGCACTGTGAAGAGATATAGTATTAGTGTTTTCTCCAAACTGTCAAAACTAATGTTTACAATTGTATCAATATAAATGTTTTGTACATGTATGTCATCATTATGCTGTACACCTTAAATTTATACAGTACTGTATGTCAATTATATCTTAATAAAATTGAAAAAAATGTGTTATGTTTTCAAAAGGGCTCAAGATACCTCAATCTTTGTTTATATAACTTTGTAATGTGCAAGTCCTAGCAAATCTTTCCTTATCCTTTTTTTAGGTTCTGCTGAGTACATTTTGTCTAAATTAAACATAAAATAATTCCAGTTTATCTGACTACTATCAGAAAAAATGTTCATGTCCTGAAATAACTATACATGGATTTATAAATGAAGATCATAACAACAATAGTCCTTCCTTCCTTTTCTTAAAAAATATAAGTGCTTATAGGAGAAACATCCTGGGATTCAAATATAAAAATCAACTCTTACTCTTCCTGGAGAATTCCATACTAAAGCCATTAGGGAGTAAAATAAAATAACTTTACAGTAGAGAAAGAGCCTGGTAGACACCACCTAATCAAGTGATCAAAGTGAACACATTCATCAATAATGGAACAAATTGATACAGTGCTCAAAGGATGCTGTGAAAGGAACTCAGTGTCACTCCTGCAATATTCCTGTCAAAGATGCATGATCTACATTTATCATGAGGACACTCAGACAAACCCACATCATGCACCATTCTCTAACAGTATCATCTTCAAAAGTGTCAAGAAAGTGAACAAAAAATTAAGGAACTGTTTAGAGAAAAGGATACTAAAGAGACTTGAAACTAAATACAACATCTGATTTGGAAATGGATTATTTTGCTATAAAGACCACTATTGTGTTAATTAGCTCAAATCTAGTCTGAAGGATGGCAGTAATGCTGAATGTTAATTTCCTGATTTTCAGGGTTACATTGTATTGATGTAGGAGAATGTACTTGCTGGTAGGAAATACATTCCATTTGGAGGTGACGGGGCATCTATTCTCAAAGGGTCAGGAAAAAAAGTCTGCGATTGCTTCAAAATTTAAAAAGTTTTTAAAATATGAGGAACAGTGAATCATCTGAGTCTTCTGGAGTTCTTATTGTCTAAAAAAGTGGAAGTATTAGAAAGAATGTGGGCATTGGAACAGCGGCATATGTTTTAAACTGATAAGAACAGATATTACACTTGATCTTAGCCAAAAGGCTGAGAAGCAACAGAGGCATACATTTTAATCATTAGCTTCAACTGTGTGATCTCTAAGAAGGCACTTTACCTCTCTCAACCTTATTATCTTCATTTCATAGGTGCAAAGATAAAAGAATGTATGTGAAAGTGCTCCGAAGGTAAAAAGTGTTACACAGTCCTCAACTATTAATATTGTTTAAAAGTCTATAGTTTTAAGTTTTAAGATTCTGCCCTTCAATCAAGCTAGCTGGGCTATTTCACTCATTTTAATAATATTTAAATGTTGCTACAAAAGATGCTGGACTTCTCAGATATTCAAAAGAATTGCATGCACTTTTAGAGAGCAATTTAACTGGGTAGCTTAAATAAAACTCCATAATAACTTATTTGTTCTACATTTGATCATTTAATATCATTTTTTAAAAATACCCCATTTAATCATTTGATATAATTTTTTAAAAATACCCCAATATTTTTGAGCCACTTCCAAATTATCTACCTGTGGTGAGGTTTATTTTGTAAACATTGTCTTTCATTTCTACTTCTATATATACTGCAGGCAACCTGAACGCCCAAGGATATGTCACCTCCTATGTTTATATTTCACCTAATACATAAACGAGAACCTCAAATATCACTACACAATTAATGACCATTTCTCATACCATAAGTATTAAATTGTGGGCCCTGAATGGACAGCTGTTATAAAATATCAAGAGGATTAGATAAACAAAGATTACTTCTTCTTAGTAATCTGGGTCACTGTCAAGATACTCTTACCTAAGATTTTTTACTGAACTATTTCATATCCTAATCAATTTTCATTTTTATTAATTTCCTAATGCTCTCAGCAATTTGAGGTAAGCACAGTATTAAGATCCCCTGAAGGTGAAAAGCATATGACCTAGCTCTCGCCCCACTGGAAATCAGCATTTCTTAATGTAATTTAAAACATCTGTATTAGATTTTCAAAACTGACTTTTTATTCCATGTATAAAAGAAGTATACAAGTAGAAATGCTTATTTTTTTCCTTGCATTTCAGTAATGGTAAAATTAAATAACTGCCTTAACCTCTTTTTTAATTTTATTATTCTCAAATGGTTCTATAAAAATGTAGTATCAAAAATAAATTTTATAAATCTCCCATTCAGCTTCTAACAAATTTTGCATTTTCGTTTTTTAACAAAAAAGGCAAATGCTCATTTGCCTTTAAGATTGCAAAACACTTTCCCTTAGATAAACATTATATTTTTACAAGTAAGGAAAAGTAACTGGAGTCCTCTTCTCAGATTAAATCACTTCCTTTAATTAAGTTAGACACTTACATTTTGCCAATTGCTGGTGCAAATTATTCAGTGTGTTCATCAGATTTTTACAAGGTTTCTTTGGGAGTATCTTCCAGGGTACATTTTTCTTGTCACCAGTTCTGAGATTAAATGGCAAAAATAATGTATTTGTTAGATGGACCTTTTGGGGGGGGAACAGGGGAAGTATATACTTGATATATATTAGAAAGGAAAAATAGAAAACACATTAAACAAAAAAATAAAACACAAAAATATTCTAGTTAACAGGAGAAAATACTACTGGGGTAAACTGAGATGTTGAATATTTAAAAATTGAATATTAATTTATATAAGAGTGAAATCTTACACTAAATATAGCTAAAAAATCTGTAATTATGTTGGTAATTCTACTTGTATTGGAATCATGCTAATCACTACCAAACATAATGTGGTGGTCATTACTCTTAAATTCCATTTAAGATTCTTTAGATACCTAAGTATTGCGAAAATCCTACTATGTGGATTTTTTTGTTGTTGTTATAGACTCTAAGATAGCACTGCAGAAAAACTTTCAATGAGCTTATCAAAATACTCTGGTACATCTTAATATTGTTTCTTTGTTTCCTAAAAGTGAAATTTATTTTTGTGTCTTTCAGAAAAGAAGTAATCTATATTAAATTAATTGAATAAACTACAACAATCCAAAATACTTTTATAACCACAAAGGAGGACATGTGCTTGAAAGTGGTATCTTTGTTTCTATAACACGCTTCTATAACCTCCTTTAATACAATTATGACAACACAGTTTTTCTTTAAGCTTATATGGGGTAGGAGAAGAAAAGAGTATGGTGATAAAACACCAAAAAGGTTTTGGACTTAACTATAGCTTTGCTTATTTCATTTATTAAATCTTTTTTTTCCCTGTTTCTACAGCAATGAATACTTATTTCAGAAAACCTGAACAATGTACAGAAAAGGGGGAAGAAAAGTACTCACATTCTAACCACCATAGACAATAACTGCACAGGTGTGGTGAAACTTGAACTTTTTTTTCAATGTTCCCTAAACTTGCCACAGAAAAAAAAGGGCAAATATCACTTTGAAAAACTAAAAAAAGAAAAAAGAGTAGATGAGAAAGCTAAAGCTGACAGAGAACAACTGTCTTGGAATCTATCTTATCTTTCCACAAATGAAAATAAAAAGACCGATAGGACATGGTCAAGTTGCAGATGTCCTCCTGTGAAGGTTTTATTTCATTTATAATGTGACCAGGAACATGGAATCCTACTTCAAAGTGAGAACATAGAAATACTATTTACGTTATTTTCATGATAAAACTTTGCAATACAGCATTCTCACTGTGCTTTACCCACTGTACGCATTCTGCCTTGCTGGACTAGATTATGAACCATTTTATAAAAAGGAGTATTATTTGGTTTGTCTTTCTACTCCCAATGCCTAGCAAAAAAAGGTATTCAGAATAAGTCTGTAGCATAAATGAAATGAAAACTATCTTGTTATCATTTCATTATATCTAATTATTTATTGAAGTAATTAATTTCCTTCTCTTACCCTTGCTATCTTCACTTTACAACTTGGCTGAGTAGGACAGTTTTACTTAGTACCTGAGTTTGGATCTGTGATAGCCTTCTGCATTTTCATTAGTGGTAACATCACTTACAAGATTACCATTACATAAATAGCCAATAATTAGTGGTAAATGTATTAGTTTAGAGTCAGTCAGTGACGGTTTCAAAATCCAGTTCTGGCAGTATAAGTTATGTGGCTTTTAATAAATTAAAACCTAAGCCTTGTTTTTCTTATCTGCCACAGGCACAGCATAACAGGAGATAACTTAGGCTATGCAGACAGCTTAAAGCCTAGCACATATCAGATGCTAATTTCCCTTTCTTCAGAAATTTCTTGGCATTCCTGTATTGTATATATCTAAGAATCAGAGAGGGGAAAAGAAAACCAAAACTCTCATACTCAGAATTTGTTTTCCTTTTAAATTTCAGGTTGGGGCTCCAGAAATTCTGGATGAAGGAAGGTAGAAAGTTGTTAGTTTACCAGGTTAATTAGACCTTTCACAGGTCTGTCAAGAAGGAAGAACACTGATGAGTGAAATTACCCATGTTTCTTTTATTCTTTATCTCATTAATGATCAAACAGAAAGAAAAAATAATAATTAAAAATTCTTTTAATAAATGGAGGGAAAGAACAAAAAGAGGGAAATGTAATTTATTACCATAATAAATACAGTATATACTCATTTACCACTCTTTATTTCAATTTTTAAAAACTTTATGTTACATAACATTAACAACTGACAAGGAAAAAATTATTACTTTAACATTTAAAGAATCAAATATTCCTAGTAAAGAATCCTTGACTCTATCAATCCCATATACAAAATGGCTTTTACGCCCGAAGTACATCCCACATATTCTTGGTTAGGCTTTCTCTGGATAAAAGCTTTTTGACAGCATACATGCTTCATAATAGAAAATTATTTTCTTGCTAAACTCGTCTGATGATTTAGGTATCTGAGGTTTTGACATATGACAAAACTAGAATTAATGTAAGATTTCAGAATTAAATTAAGAGGCTTTAATATAACACATGCATATTTAAAAATGAAGAAAACCAATTTCACATATACATTTTTAAGTTGTTAAAAGGCATACTAGCTTTTGGGCTTTACTGATAGACTAACTTGTAGTTATTTTAAGTATGTCCTGTGAATTCAGTGTGGTCACTGCATCAATTCCCTCTTCCCTAAATAGCATAAGTTTCATTAAACTGAGAATAAGGGATAGAAGAGAAACATTTAATTATAAAAAAAGGTACAAGTAGCCCTGGCTGGGTGGCTCTGTGGTTGGAGTGTTGTCCCAAACACCAAAAGGGAGCGGGTTGGATTACCCGCCGGTGAGTACAGGAGGCAAACAATCGATATTTCTCTCTCACATCAATGCTTCTCTCTTTTTTCTTTCTCTCTCGCCTCCCCACCTCCCTTCTCTATTCCCTCCCTCCCTTACCCTTCCTTTCTTTCTAAAATCAATAAGTATATTCTTGGGTAAGGATTAACAAAAAAAGCTATGACTATATAGCTCCAGCAGTAGAACCTAAATATTATTCCATTTAAAGGGGGAGACAAAATCCTCACACTCCTAGGGTATAAAAGGAAAACAATTATGTATAAAAGTTATTTAGAATTTAAAAACATTACATTAATTTTGCTATGAAGAATGAGTATTCTAATAGTATTATACTACACTACAAGTATGATTGAAATATTAATCAAGAAATAATATTCCAATTCAATTTGTGTTTCACCCATACTCATCTGACTAAAGGGAAATAAATGTTTTCTAATCTCAATTTCCCTTCTGCTAATTTCTTGGTAAGTATAAGATTATACTGTTTTTTAAATATTTTAAAAACTAAGGATGAAAGGTACATTTTCTTTCCAATAAAACCTTCTCCAATGCCCTAAATCTATCCCACTGAAGTATAGTAAGGGCTGATTCAAAGATGGTAATAATCTCAAACACAAAAACAATATAGCTAAGGGAAAATCCTAATAAGCATTCATAAAATAAAAAACTACAGGCATTATGAAGTAAATTATTGGGTACAGACTCACTAAAATGTACTTACTGAGAAATGGTGTTAGTATCGAGGTCAACACAACTAACGTCTGGTGGAGGGTCATAGAGATCAAAGTATCTTGAGTCAATT